CTTGAAAGAAACAGGAAGGCCCCCCCCACCCGCCTGCTGGTCCCTGCTTGCTGTCAGAATAAGCTAGAAGCTCACCGAGACAGGCCAGGGGGTGAAGCTGGTACCCCGGCCACACGGAGGCCAGCACCCGGAGCAGCCTGACTGTCCTGCTGACCACAGCAGGTCCCCAAGGGCTTCCGGAACCCTGAGCCCCACGTGTCCTCCAGCCACAGAGAGCGTGCCACCCGGACACAGGCTCTTCCTGCCTCTGGTTGTGTCCCTCAGTGTGAATTTTCACAAGTTTCAAAGCAGAAGAGCAACTGTGTTTGGTTCCCAGGTAGTGCCTGCGACCCCTCCAGGGTGCCCGTCCTATGACGTAGGGCAGAGAGCCCCTGAGCTCCTTCCCAAGTCCTCCTAACCCGAGGCTCAGGTAAGAGATGCTGGAGCTGTCTGACTCAGGGCGACAGAGCAGGTGAAGCACCTGCCATCCCCGTGGGAGAGATGCAGAAACTGAGGCTCAGGAGGAGGGGACGTGTGGCCTGAGATCACTCCTCCCGGAGTGACGGGGGCATGGTGGTGGGTGCTGAGGGACTGAGAGTTTGGGGACTCCACCCGACTGCTGCCTCCGCTCACCCCCGGCCGCCTCTGGCCTGGCCCAGCGTCTCCCACCAGAGAGCTCTTGGCTGGCTCGGAGTTCCCGTGCTGTTTGGCCTGGCGGTGGTGGCCTGGTGGCCTGCCACCTATGGGCTTTGAGACTTTGAGCAGTCAGTTTGCCCCTCTGAGCCTCATCTTACCTCTCTGTGGACTGGGGAACCCGCCGCTCCCTCTCCTGGATGTTGGAAGGAGTCCCAGCCACGGCACGGGCTCCTCTGGGCCAGCAGCATATTCAGCATCTCTCAGAGGGAAGGACAGTACCAGGCAGAACAGCAAGTGCTAAGATGGTGGCCCAGAGTGGAAAAAAGAAAAGTCCAAAGAGATTCCAAGGGGGGACGAGGGGGAAATGAGCATAATTCCCTTCTTTGTAATGTTTTGCAGTTCCCACGCACCCTCAGCGGTGTTATCTCCTCCACATAATCCTGGGATGTGTGCCCCGTATCAGAGAGGCAGGCGTTGGCCCAGAGAGGTTAAGGGTCATGGCCAAGGTCACACAGCATGAGAGAGGCAGAGCAGGGACTAGAAGTCAGGTTTGGTTTGGTTTTGTTGCCCAGTACTGGAAATTGAACCCAGGCCTCACCTCACATATGCTAGACAAGCATTCTACCACTGAGCTATATCTCCAGCCCTAGGTGGAGCTGACAGAAGTCAGTTCTATGGCTATAAAAGCAGTGACTGCATACAAGGCTGTGGGGTTCAGAGAATTGGGGGGAATGCTTCCAGAAGAATTGATCTGGGCCTTAAAAAAGAAAAGTTGTAGCTGTGTCTTGCTCATAAGCATGAATTTTCCAGATGTCCCAAGAGCCCCACCGAGACGGCTCAGAAGCAGCAGCTAAGCATGTAACCCCAACGGGCCTGTAATGCATCACCCTTCCCACTGCTCCCTGTGACCTTGGGGTCACTATTTAACCCTTCCAAGTCTCAGTTTCCTCTTCTCTGAAATGGAAACCCTCATGGCCCTAGCCTAAGAGCAGAGGTTCTGGAAGAGGTCTCAGCTTCACCCAGGTCTAAATCAGAAACCCCAGAGTGGACCCAGAGCTGTCTTCCCAAGATTCCAGCAGGCACTCAAGTTTGGGGGCCTCTGCCTACTAGGACTGCTGAATGGAGAAAGCAGCTTTCCAAGCCTCTCAGGCTCCATCCCAACACCCCATTCTGTCTGTGCCCGCCTCCAGGTACGGTTCCCGTCCCACTTCAGCTCTGACTTGAAGGACCTGCTTCGGAACCTTCTGCAGGTGGATCTCACCAAGCGCTTCGGGAACCTCAAGAATGGGGTCAACGACATCAAGAACCACAAGTGGTTTGCCACGACTGACTGGATCGCCATCTACCAGAGAAAGGTGAGCCCCTCCTGGGCATGCAGGGGGTTCTGGAGGAAGCCAGGAGCCAGGGAGGACTGCAGTGGAGAGACAGAAAAGGAAGGGGGTCTTGAAAATCGTCCCCAGGTTCAGCATCAGTATACACTAGGCAGCTTTGAGCCAGGGAAGACTAGAGATACAATTCTGGGGTCCTGGGGTTATTTGGCCACCCTRTGGCCTTGGGCAAGAGATGCTGCTCTGGGAAGTAATTTCCCCTTTGGTGAGTTGGCCATAATTCTAGACTTGAGTTGCTAAGAAGAATCCATACCATAAACTAAGAACAGACCTGAGTCAAAGTAAATATCTCATGAATGTTAGGCCATTCGCATTTATTGTTGTAATGATGACAGTGATGGCTGCTGAGGTCTGGGTGGTTCTGATCCCTCTCCAGGTGGAAGCTCCCTTCATACCAAAGTTTAAAGGCCCTGGGGACACGAGTAACTTTGACGACTATGAGGAGGAAGAGATCCGGGTTTCCATCAATGAGAAGTGTGGCAAGGAGTTTGCTGAGTTTTAGGGGTGTGCCTGTGCCCCCATGGGTTTTCTTGTCTTTCTTTTTTTTTTCTTTTGTGGGGGGTGGGAGGGTTGGATTGAACAGCCAGAGGGCCCCAGAGTTCCTTGCATCTACTTTCACCCCCCACCCCACCCACCAGGGAAGGGGGAACAGGAAGCCCAGATATTTGGAGGAATGGAAACACCAGCTGCTCCCCCACTCCCTTTGCCTTCTTGCCCCTCCCCCACAGGTCCAACTCCACCCCAGCCCACTCTGCCAGTTTTAAATGAGTTTCTCAGCTCCGGGCAGACCAGGTCTTACTGGTGTGTCCAGGCACCGGGTGAGGAAAGAGGGGTCCAAACTTAACTCCAGTCCCCCAGCCCCACCCTGCCTCTGGCACTGGGCACCAAGGGCAAATGAATGAAGAGCTGGCCTTCTCTGTGGGGCCCTCCTGCCTGGGAAGGACAGTTTTTTTTTGTGACATGTCATTGGGCTGCTTGCTAGAAATTTTCTAAAATACGATTTAAAATCTTATTTAATTTAAGTTCCACCAGTGCCTCCCTTCCTCCTTCCTCTGTCCCCACTCTTCTCATGTCCCCCTCCCACTCCCCAAAACCATTTTAACGAGGCTGGGAAGCAGACTGACTGAACAGGAAGGACCAGGGGTTTGAACCTCTGCCCTGAGCTGCTAACATCCCCACCCCCTTCCCCAGGGGGGCGGGGAGGGGGGCTTCTGCCAACCTTCCTTACTGGGGTCCCAGCCACTGTAGCAAGCCCTCGCCCTCTTCCCCCACAACACATCTTTCTTCACCCTGGAGCTTTGGGAGCCAGACGAAGCAGCTGCCCCTCTCCCTGCCAAAGAGGAATCGTCCCCCCAAAAGATAGAGGGGGAACCCCAAGCCCAGGGTCTCTCCTTCCAGCAGCAGCCCCCACCCCAAGCTCCTTAATTTTACTCTCAGCTAGATTTTAATGCCCAGCCTCCTTCCAGCCCAGCTGGGAAGGCAACCCTACAAAAGGACCTGGAAAAGTCCCCCACCACACACAAGGGCCAGAGTTCAAGGCCAGGGTTGCTGGGGAGAGGCTGCCTGTGTTATCCACCCAGCAGCTTCAGCGCCCCCCATCCTGGGTGCCCCTCCTCTAGCTTAGCTGTCAGCTGTCCATCACTTCTCCCCGCCCTCTGTCTGATTTGTGCTTTTCTCTCTCAATAGAAAGATGGGGAGCCACCCCGTTTATCTCCATATTTGTCCCTCTCAAAACTTCTCCCTGAACCCAGAGGAGCTCTCAGGCCTGGGGTGGGGCCCCAGGTGGGCGTGGGGGCCATTCAACCTGTGTGCTGCGAAGGACGAGACTTCCTCTTGAACAGTGTGCTGTTGTAAACATATTTGAAAACTATTACCAATAAAGTTTTGTTTAAAAAAAAAGTGTCGCTGGTGTTCCTGACTTCGGTCACCCACCCACACACCCCCAGGGGGTTGGAAAGCAAATTTCGGACTTGGGCATCCAGGCTAATCAGGCCCTGGCCTGGAGTCCTTGTAAAACCAGGTTTCCCTGGAATTCCACCACTTCTTCCGCCCCGCTAGAGAAGGGGGAGCTAACTGCCCTTTGACCCCGAATTCGGGGTCCCCAAATCTGTGGCGCGCCCCTCTTCGTCCGGCCCAGGACCGAGAGGGCGCTCTAGGGAGACGMTGGGGCTGGCGCGCCGGGAGGCCGAGCAGCGGCGGGGGCGGCTCTGGCAGGAAGAGTAAAGGGGGGAGCCCGCGCGCGCCCCCCACCCCGCATCTTCTGCGCGGGGCCAGACGCACCAGAGGGGCGCAAGGGCGGCGGCGGCCCGAGGGTCCTCGCAGCGCTCCAGGAGCGCAGCAGCCCAGACCCGCGGGCGGCGAGTTCCCGGTAAGTGCGGTCCCGAGAGCGGAGCGCGCCGGGGAGGCGTGGAGAGGGGGGCTGGGCGCCGGGGACGTCTGGGTCCCGCGCCCAATGGCTGGAGGGCGGCCGAGCGCCGCCCGCCCGCCCTGCCCGCCCCCTCTCCCCTCCCCCCGGCGCTCCCCTCCCCCTCCCCCGCCCGCCGCTTTCCCCCGCCCCCGCCCCGGCGCCAACTCCGCGGCGCCTCCTTAAAAAGCGCGCGGGAGTTGTAAGGGGGGGCCGGAGCGAGCCGGAGTGAACGAGAGCGCAGGGTAAAGGGGGCGGGCGGGGGGCCCGGGCTCCACCTTAAAAGCGGGCGCGTGGGGGTGGGAGGGAGGAAGGCGGGCGGCGGGGAGGAGGGAGGGAGGGAAGGAAGGGGGGCCGGAGTGTCCCGGGCGCAGGGCGCGCGTGCGGCGGCGGCGGCGGCGGGGAGGGGCCGGCCGCGCCGCGCTCCCCTCCTCCCTCCTCGCATCCCCGGCCCCGCGCGCGCCCAGCAGAAGCGGGTCTGTGTGTGCGTGCGTGCGAGTGAGTGAGTGTGTGCATATTTTTTTTCTCTTTTCTTTCTCTCACTGTTTTTTCTCTCTCGCTCCCTCGCTCTTTTTTTTTTTTTTTTTTTTTTTGCAAAGAAACAGCAGCGCCGCCGCCGCTCCGCCGAGGCGCTGCGCCCCCCGGGGGGGGAGGCGGAGGAGGCGGGCAGCGGCGGAGGGAGGAGAGCCGGGGAGGGGGGCGCCGCGCTGGGAGGGAGGCAGCGCGCACGGTGCAGCCGGGCCGGGCGGGAGGCATGGCGGGGCCCCCGGCCCTACCCCCGCCAGAGACGGCGGCGGCCGCCACCACGGCGGCCGCCGCCTCGTCGTCCGCCGCTTCCCCGCACTACCAAGAGTGGATTCTGGACACCATCGACTCGCTGCGCTCGCGCAAGGCGCGGCCGGACCTGGAGCGCATCTGCCGGATGGTGCGGCGGCGGCACGGCCCGGAGCCGGAGCGCACGCGCGCCGAGCTCGAGAAACTGATCCAGCAGCGCGCCGTGCTCCGGGTCAGCTACAAGGGGAGCATCTCGTACCGCAACGCGGCGCGCGTCCAGCCGCCCCGGCGCGGAGCCACCCCGCCGGCCCCGCCGCGCGCCCCCCGCGGGGGCCCCGCCGCCGCCGCCGCGCCGCCGCCCACACCCGCCCCGCCGCCACCGCCCGCGCCCGTCGCTGCCGCCGCCCCGGCCCGGGCGCCCCGCGCGGCCGCCGCCGCCACAGCGCCCCCCTCGCCCGGCCCCGCGCAGCCGGGCCCCCGCGCGCAGCGGGCCGCGCCCCTGGCCGCGCCGCCGCCCGCGCCCGCCGCTCCCCCGGCAGTGGCGCCCCCGGCCGGCCCGCGCCGCGCCCCCCCACCCGCCGTCGCCGCCCGGGAGCCGCCGCTGCCGCCGCCGCCACAGCCGCCGGCGCCGCCACAGCAGCAGCAGCCGCCGCCGCCGCAGCCACAGCCGCCGCCGGAGGGGGGCGCGGCGCGGGCCGGCGGCCCGGCGCGGCCCGTGAGCCTGCGGGAAGTCGTGCGCTACCTCGGGGGCAGCGGCGGTGCCGGCGGCCGCCTGACCCGTGGCCGCGTGCAGGGGCTGCTGGAGGAGGAGGCGGCAGCGCGGGGCCGCTTGGAGCGCACTCGCCTCGGAGCACTTGCATTGCCCCGCGGGGACAGGCCCGGACGGGCACCGCCGTCCGCCAGCGCCCGCGCGTCGCGGAGCAAGGTGAGCGCGCCGAGGAGCCGGGACGCTGCGCGGTGGGCAGGTGCGGGCGAAGTTGGTGGAGGGGGCGCGAGTCCCGGGTGGAACTGGGCGGCGGGTGGCCGGGGGTTTTGCGCGCGTTCCCTGTGGGCTCCGCGTGTGGTGACCTTGGCAAGTGGTTTAATCTTGCCGAGCCTCAGTTTCCTCGGATGTAAATGCCACTTGATCACAGTAGCGACCCCTTGGGGTTGTTGAGCGACTTTAGTGAGATTTGGCTAGTGAARGCTTTATATTAACACAAAGCCTGGCACGGAGTGACTGCGTAAAAGTTAGTCCGTATTGTTATTAAAGGTGGCATTGGGTACACGACTCGGCCTGGGATCCCAGGATCTGGGTCCAGGATTAGAACAGCTGCTATGCTTCTCTCCCTGGCCCTAGAGAGGTGGAGAAGAGCGAGTGCTTGAGAAAGAAGAGGAAGAGGAAGATGAGGAGGAGGAAGATGATGATGATGATGTGTCTGAGGGCTCAGAAGTGCCCGAGAGTGACCGTCCTGCGGGTGCCCAGCACCACCAGGTTAATGGCGAGAGGGGCCCTCAGACTGCCAAGGAGAGGGTCAAGGAGTGGACRCCCTGTGGACCCCATCAGGGCCAGGATGAAGTGCGGGGATCTGTACCTGGCAGTGGCAGCCGCCAGGTGTTCTCCATGGCCGCCATGAATAAGGAAGGGGGATCAGGTAAGGACTGCTGGGAGGGTGTTCGATGGTCAGAGAGGAACCCCAGTCCCAAGACAATGYCACAGGCCCGTCCTTTTTCTTTCCTAGCCTCTGTTGCCACCGGGCCAGATTCCCCATCCCCTGTGCCTTTGCCCCCAGGAAAACCAGCCCTACCTGGGGCCGACGGGACCCCCTTTGGCTGTCCGTAAGTTGGGGCACTTGAGACATGGGGGTAGTGCCCAGGTGTATGTAACAACTAGAGGGGCATCAGTGTTTACTGGTACCCTCTGATTTGATGCAGTCCCGGACGCAAGGAGAAGCCGACTGACCCCGTGGAGTGGACGGTGATGGACGTGGTGGAGTACTTCACGGAGGCAGGCTTCCCRGAGCAGGCCACAGCTTTCCAAGAACAGGTGAGTTCCCAGCCCAGGACTTTATACACATAGGCACAGAGGACCTTGGCAGGGATAGGCTCTGATCCTCCCTGTCTCTGTCCCTCCCAGGAAATCGACGGCAAGTCTTTGTTGCTCATGCAACGCACAGACGTGCTCACCGGTCTGTCTATCCGCTTGGGCCCCGCCCTGAAAATCTATGAGCATCATATCAAGGTGCTTCAGCAAGGCCACTTTGAGGATGATGACCCGGATGGCTTTTTGGGCTGAGCACCCAGCCTTGCCCTACCCCTACCCACTCCAACCCCCATCTTGCCCAAGACCCCCAGAGTTCATGAGCTGGATGGGGACACCCTCAGCCCTCATAACAGACTCCAGTGAGGGGGGCACCCTTCTCTGCTCTCTCTCCCCTTTATCTCAAACACACCTGCCCCCCAACAC